GCCCTGTACCCACCTACTATCCTAATCCAACTGCGCAACAGTTCAAGCCCCTCCCGATACCCGAGCTCCAACCGCTCACGCACTTCCCGCCTCCTCGCGCTCACTTTCCTTTTACTGACCGCATTACGCCTGAACGCCTCGACATGCTCCTCGAAAAAGTGGCACCCAACTTCCTTTCTGATCAAGAGCTCGACCTAGTGGCGCTTGTAGTTAGCCAGCACCAACGTGCCTTTGCGTTCGAATACGCGGAGAAGGGTACGTTTTCCCGCGAATACTTCCCCGAGTACGAGATCGCCACGATAGAGCACACACCGTGGCAACAAGCACCCATACGCGTCCCCAAGGCCTTGGAGAATGCGGTGCGCACGGAGATTCTTGACCAGGAAGCTAACGGTCGTTTCGAGATGACCACTTCTAGTTATCGCAGCGCGATCTTCGCTGTAGAAAAGAAGAACAAGGGTGTCCGCCTTGTACTCGACTTGCAGCGCCTCAACGGGGTCACTATTCGCGATGCTGGCCTCCCACCTCGCATGGACGATTTCGCCGAGAGCTTTGTGGGCTACGCTATCTACGCCGTGCTCGACTTGTACTCCGGCTTCGATGCGGTACCTCTCGCGGCACGGTCACGCCCTATGACCGCCTTCCATTCCATCATCGGACCGCGCCAGCAAACGACCCTGCCTCAAGGCGCCACGAACTCACCTACTGCTTTCCAACAGCGAATGGATCACACGCTGATCCGTATGAGTGCGGCTGATAAGGCAAGGCCATTCTTCGACGACTGTGGCGTTAAGGGCCCACGGACAACATACGACAACGAACCACTGGCGGACAACCCCAACATACGGCGATTCGTGTTTGAGTTCTGCGAGACTCTCGCCGAGTTCCTTGCTACGCTGATTCTTGCAGGAGTAACCGCTTCAGGTATGAAGTCGACGCTCGCTACACCGCTCCTGGATATCGTGGGGACTCTGGTATCCCTATCTGGCTGGCAACTTCATCACGGCATCGTCAACAAGGTCCTGAAGTGGGTAGAGCCCGCTGACCGCTCGGAGCTGCGCGGCTTTCTCGGAACGACAGGATGTGGACGTCGCTGGATCCGCAACTACTCCCTGGTTGCAAAGCCGCTGACAATCCTTTTGCGCGGCAGTGAAGCTGACTTCTTCTTCGGTGATGAAGCGCGCGCAGCCATGCTCAAACTCAAGAATCTCGTCACACGGGCCCCTGTATTGGTGCGTATCGATTATGAACTTGCCGCCACTCACAGCCGTCTAGTGCATTCATCTGAGCACGGCTTGATCATTGTGGCAGTCGACGCGTCTCTGTACGGCGCAGGATGGGTTCTATACCAGGTTCTCGTCAAGCCTCCGCTCGAAACCGTCACAACTACCACCACGGAATCTCCTTCCAAGCCTCCTCGCGAGCGAATTGAACGACACCCAGCCATTTTCGGCAGCCGCACGTTCAATGCGGTCGAAGCTCGCTACTCTCAACCCAAGTGCGAGCTCTACGGTGTCTTTCGAGCGGTGAAGGACCTTCGCCATCGCATCTACGGCGTATTCTTTATGCTGGAAGTCGACGCCAAATCACTGATCGAGATGCTACGCCGTCCAGACCTACCTGGCGCTTCCGAGACCCGCTGGATATCCTTTATTCAGACCTTCGATTTCGACGTCCGCCATGTACCTGCAAGTGCGCATGAAGCTCAAGATGGCCTCTCCCGCCGCCGCACAGCACCCGATGACAGCTCCGAGTCGGATGGCGATCAGGATGGCTTTATCGATCATGTACTCGACGCCTTGTACGGCCGCCACGACTCCGACTGGAGCATATCCTCTGCGGTACAGGCCGATCGGTACCCGTCGGTGCAGGCTTCTTATCAGTGTGTCGTCCCGCCGCCGCTCTTCTGCTCACCTTTACCGCGTCAGATCATTCCTGCTTCCCTCTTCCAGCCCCTCTTCGCCAGCTTTGTTGCACGAGGACGTGCCGCCGCTATCACTTCTCCCTCTCGTCTCGCTATGGACCCAGACAGGCTGCGCCCGCACGAAATCATACCTCGCAACGGGCTCCCGACGCCGGGTGATGCGCGTATTGAGCGCATCGACGACTTCGACTTTTCTCCGGGCACGCTGTTCACCTACACCCTCTCGCGAGCTACGGACGACCGCCTCTACAAGTCCGAGCTCAAGTTCACGCGCAAGGTCAACAACGGACCGTCTGCAGACCCGCCCCGCTGCCCCGATCATCATTGTGGCCCTTCGGTCTCAGGCTGTGGCGACATCTCCGCGGTCTTCAATGTTAGGCACGCTGCTATCGAATGGGCGCCAGACTACTCGTATTATTCCACGGACGACTATCGCTCATCGGCCTTTCAACCTGAGCAAGAGGATCCCTTGGACGAGGAGCTACCCCATCTCTACACCCTGTATATGGACCTCGACGAGCGCAACGATGTTCTAGGTGCGCCGCCGGGTTTCTTTTCTTCAACCCAAGCCTACGATCATCCCTTCTATGATGTGATGCGCGCGCGGGGGGAAGAACCGGCGCTATTTGAGTCCTGCCCCGCTCTTCCAATGCCGGTTCTGCTCGATCCCGTATTCGAGAACCGTGGCGCTAATACGCGTGGCTTCATATCGTGCATCGGGCACAAGTTTGGTGTGAAGGACGAGGACACACCTGAGATG